CCCCAAAACCCCAAAACCCCAAAACCCCAAAACCCCAGCAGCTTCACTTAGTATTGAAATGAAATATAGAGACTCTCAATTAATTTCTTCCAATATTTTTCTGATATTTTGTACCTATTTTCATGGGTTAGTACTATTGCAAAATGAAAAATAAACTATCAACATATTTTAATAATTAAAAATACACATATCTTACTTCAGTTAACTATTCGGCTTTTTCCTTCAAAGACTGGTACAAATCTCTGTACAATTTGTGATGCAAATCCAATATTTCAAGCTGCTGGTCAACAGAGTCAAGTCTCTTCTCAGTGAAGTTCTCGAGTTCTTCTCTCTTTATGGTAACTATATCATGAGAACTGCCAACAACAGAACTTACGCTTTCTGTCGACGTATGAGCCGAGGTTCCTCTCCATTTTTCCTAGGAGTCTTTCTTGTTTCTTGAGCTGGAGCTCCATGAAGTCTTTGATGACTGCAATCTTGGACTCATGGCCGCCTTGCTGTCCGTCACCTCTCTCTTTTTCGATGAGGATGATGTACTTCTTCTTTTTGAAGAGACTTTTCCTTGAAATCAACAGTTCTGATTCAGCCATGAGGACGACGAGTTCTTTGAGGAGGTTTTGGTTCATGTTCTCGTAGACTTTATCAAAGATGTCACTGACCACAGCAATGACAGCGTTGAGGATCACGAGCAGATTAATGAATGTTGACACCAACCAGATGGCATAGATCAAAGGATTGTGAATAGTGCCAGTAGGGAAATTATCAGTATTGAAATCTCCAAGTCCAGTTCTAGATAAATTATGAGACATTATTCTGCTGTTATTGATACCTTTAAAGTAAATTTTTAATCTATAAAGACATAGAGCAACTATCCACTTTTTTATAACTCCTCTATTGTCCAAAATTAAAGTTTATATACATTATAGAGAATTTCAAATATAAGCGAACTTGTGTTATTAATCTTTTCAATTCTCCTATTCCTTCTATCTAAGTTTATTCCTCCTCTATGAGCTATTCCTAACTTTTCCTTCATATTTCATAGAGCCTAACTCCAACAATATTTTTAATAGCCCAAACCCTATATCTCACTCTTTCATGAAGAATATCTATTTAAGCCCATTAATGAAGCAAGAAAACTTTAGGCTTCAAGATGAGACCAATACTACTGAGCAATTTTAGCACTAATAACAGACAACTATTTTATTAATTTCTAATTTCAGGCAAAAATAATATTGCAGTTAGAAAATTAGGGGAAACGGCCCAGAATTCTTCTCAAAGATTTGTAAAATCTAAAACTTGACGAGCCATTCTATACTATATGGTAGCCAAGGCTTGTCAAATTTATACCAGGATAAAGCATTTTATACGATAAATAATAGTTTATCCAACTCTAAATAAATGTCTTATAATTACTATTACTGAATCCAATACTCTAAATTTGTGTTGATTTTGATGAAATGACCGAAAAGGAGATTTTAATGTATCTGATGGTCACATTTTGCATTAAGGTAGAAATTTTGCATTGCTTACCTGTAAGAAAATTTTAATGCTTCCCAAAAGCCTACTCCTGGAATTACATATTCACCTTCATCATTCTCCATTCTTGATAGCAACAGGAATGAATTAGCAAATGCGAATATTGACAAGGCAAAGATTAAAATTAAATAAGTCATTCCTGTTGTCACAGCCATTATCATTCTCACCAGCCATGCAGTTCTGAATGACATTCTTCCAAAATAACAAAGCTTCAACCACATGAAGAAAGTAGCTCATGCTAGAACAGGAATTCGATGTACAGTACCACTTTCCAAGAGATCTAAGGTAAGAACACTTATATTTAGAGATATAGAGATGATATCAACAAGATTCCAGAAAATTAAGAAATATCTCAGCCTGTAGGCAATTATCTTTCTTGCTTCAATATAAAGGAAGAAAAAGATAAATCCAATAATAATAAACACCATTGCAAAGTTAAGGACATTATAAGGACCGGTTCCACTTTCTTCATCTCTTAATTCATTGATCCAAGTAGAATATGTAATGAACAGAACAAAGTAAATAATGAAAGGAACAAAAATATTGAGAACAATGGCTCTTCTGTAAAATTTCCACAAGTACTCAATAAGCTTCTTGATGACCTCGACTTCAAAGACTTCGTCATCTCCTGAAACAGCCATGGAATTCAAGAAGATCTTGCCTTCTGTCTCGTTGAAGACCCAGTCGAACTCGACAGCTCTGACTTCATACTTTGCAATGCCTTCTTTCTGAGTTTTTCGGTACAGCTTGATGTCTTTGTCAAGCTTCTTGCGGTTTTCTTTGAGAGCAGCTTTTCTTTTCTCAAGGTCGTCCTGAGCTCCAGTTTGCTTTGTCTATGATGAGAGTGAGCACTTACTTCTTTGGCAGTCTTGCTAGCCAGTTCGGCAGCTTTCTTTCCATCCGCTAAGATGCCCCCGAGTTTGTCTTGCAGAGTGGTGGAGCCTCCTGCATATTCTTCTTCGTCACTTTCACGCAGAGTCCTGCTGATTTCTTGACTGGAGTCATCTACTAAATCGTCAAGAAGCATTACCTCCTTCAGACCCTTCACCTTCGGAATCTGGATTAGAGCTCTTGTGTTCTTCGCTGTCCTGCGGTTGGCCGGCTCTTTCATTGAACATGACTGCTTCGCCAGGCGTTGCAGCAAACTCTCTTGCATTGGTTTCGAAGCCTCCAACTGTCGCCACCTCTGGCACTTTTGCTGCCTCTTCTCGTCCTTTGGTTGCTTCCTCACCTTTTTGCTCATCAGAGGCTTTGACCTTTTCTTCTTGCTGAATGCTCCTTTCTTCCTGGAGAAGTTCTCTGGTTCTCTGCTTGAACTCTTTTTCTGCCTTGCCTTCTTTGGTGTGCTTTTCGAAGAAAGTGTCGTCTAGGATTCAACTTGTATGAGAAGTGATAATTATGTCATCATCCGCCCTCAGCCTCAGGTATTTTGTGTATTTCATCTGTACCGTCTGGAACAAACAAGTCTCAAGGAAATAGTGGAATGACTTTAGCTTCATGTCTAGCAGCTGCGGAAACTTTCTGAAGAAGTTCTGAGAGTAGTTTCCTTCAGAAATCATCGAAAGAGTGTTCAGCAAAATGTCTGTGGTCTTGGGACTGTTCTTGTCGATACAAATGTCAAGGGCTGATTTGCCTCCATGGTTTTCCATCAGAATTGTGGTAAGGTATTCTTTCTTGTGCTCCATCAAGTAGTCGATGACAACTTTGAGGTCTTCGATTTCGAGTCAAACCATGTGCAAAATGGTGTTGCCTTCAATTTGGAATTTGAGGAGGTCGGACTCCATGTTTTCTTGTTTGAAGTCAATTTCTCCTTGTACGAATTTATTGAGAGCCATTGCTTCGGTGACCAGAGTTTTGAGTAAGAAGCTTCCATTGAGTAAGATGAGTTCCTCTATAAAAGGCAATGAGGTTACTTAAATAAAACAATTAGCGCGCTCTTGAGAGTAAGGATCTTAGAGGTAATTCATCATGTTGTTTTAGCAAATAAAAATTGATTGAAGCATTGAAAGTTGGGTTTAGATGTGGTCTGAGCTTCTTTTTCATAAAATTTAAACTAATGCATACAAATATCTATGTATTCTGGGAAGAAATTTGGAGGGGAATTCCAGCAAGCTTCTTCAAGTTTTATAGTAGCTTTTTTTAGAATTTATATACTGAGGCAGAATAGAAAATTATATTGGCTCGATGCTAAGCATTTGAGTAAAGGATAATGAATTTGCAAGAAAAATGGCTTATACTGTGAAGAAAATAATGAGAATGGATCTTGCTCATGATTAGGAACAGGGAATCCATATTGTATAAAGAATGCTCCTAATTTTAAATAGTTTAGTACCTTTATCGCTCATTTTGTATCCAGGCTGGTCCCACTGTAAACCGATATATGTGAAGTCATAATCAAAGAAGTAATTTTCTATATTCTTTTCTAAGTTAACATAATAATTCTTTCATAATATATATCCATATTTTGATTTCTTCCCTCTAATAAATGTGTAACTTCCATAGATAGAATAATTTTTCAGTTCTCTATTTGAATCCAAGTCCCAAATAATGAATAGAGTCTCTCCTTCAGATCTTGCTAACGAAATAATAATACTACTAGCATCATCTCACTCATAGACTTCTTTAATAGACAAATCAAGTTTTCCAAGCACAAAGTTTAACGGGATGACATCCTTGAATTTTCACTTTGTGGCAATGCGGTTATTCTCTGTGATAGATTCCACTTTTATCTTAATATGATAGATCCTTTCAGACCTGTAACCAATCATTCCTTCCTTTAATGCTAGCCAGTTATAATCAGCAGATGTGTATGAGATGAATTGGTCATTTACTCCAAGTTTTCCATCTACCAAGTTAGTGAGTTCAAGGTCTTCAAAGAATAACCTATATTGCTTTTTGAATCAATCTCCCTTAGCTGAGCCAATAGGGTAAGGGAATTCATAGTCATAAGGGTAGTCGAATTCAAGGACCTCTACAATTCCGTCTTCAATATCTTTTTCGTCTACGTTATCTTTTGGGACCTTGACTCTTTCCTTCTTGAGAAAAGAAATTGTAAGAATATCACTAACAGCAGGCATGTTATAGTCTCCAAAAAATGCACCTCAATTCTTGAATTCTCTGACTAGTTTGAGCTCAATCATCATTTCAGATTCAGAAACTCTCTTTTGAACTTTATTTGCTGTCGATGGCTTATTTTTGACAGTTTTCATTTTCTTCTTCAAGGTTGCAAGCTTTTTCTTCATTGATTTTCTTCTGACAAAACAGATTTCATAAATCATTAAGCTCTGTTTAAGATCAGAATTATATAAAGGATTCATCTTATCTTTAGTTCTCCCTCCTTCTATGTTCCTTAGTTTAATATCATCTTCTTTGTTTTCTTCGCTTTGATCAGAGTGAGGGTTAAGCTCTTGGGGTTCATCTCTCTTTGGATTCTTCAAATAATACAGATACTTTCCATTACGAGTGACATTAATATTGACATAATAGTAACCTTTTTCTTCTGAAGGATAATGCAGTTTAGAATTAATATATTCTCCATTCTTTTTGTGAAGGTCAATTCTTATTGATCCTTCATTCGTGCTTGTAAAAGTTCTGATGATATGCTCCTCTTCCATACTTGGAGAATAAATGAAAAATTCATTTATAGCCATCTCTGTTTCTGAAGTGTATGGGTATAAAGAGTTTCTGAAATTAGGCATCAAAGTCTGCACTTCTGTGTCAAGATCATAATCGAAATGGGTGATAAGAGAACATTTACTAGTGAAGTAAGATTTCTTCATTTTATAATCTTCAAACAACTCATAGAGGATGTCATTGAAATAACCTATAAAATACAGAGTTTAGGGATTATTATCTAAAAATCTTACTTTCTTTGACATATTTTAGGTTAACTCAGTCATCTGAATACTTGGAAACAGGTATTTCTTCAACAACATTAATTTCTAAATATTACCTAATAAGTTACTATAGCTTGGTTTATCTCCTTCTACATCAATGCTTCATCTTTTAACGTTTTTGGGATCATCAACAATAAAACAGTTTGCGCCACCATAAAAAGTTGTCAAACTCAGATCTTTCAGAGGATCTTTTGAGGTATACATCACAACAGTCCGAGCTTTATCATTAAAGTCATAGGGTTCTGGATGAAATAGGACCTTTTTTTCTCCCTTATGATACATTAATAATCCCTTTTTCATATAATCAAAAGTTATTGGGATCATTTCACCAGCCCTATAGCTTCTAGATTTTATGATAATAGCATCTTTCCAATCCTTAGAATAAGTCACCAGATAGTTTTTGAACTGTAGAGCATAAGCAAAGTATTTATTAGCTTCTCCATCGCTTTTCACTTCAACGTTTTTTAGAAACTTAATAAAGAAATCTTTTGGGAGCATTATTTTCTTGATGTACATTTTATTGTAAGTTAGGGTCAGGTTATAACTAGAATCATAGAAGTTTTTAATATAATTTATCGACAACGTTGTAAAATGATTTCCGAGATCAATAATAGCAGTATAATAATTAGTTCCATAGCCATCAGGATCCTTATCAATAGAGATAATTGGGGAAGGAACAGATGCATAAGTAAATTTATCACCTGGTATATCATACCATATTAATTCATGGCACCCTTTCACAGTAAAGTAGTAAGGATAAGAGAATGAAGTGTATGTATCCTCATCAATTGTGATTTTCTGGTCTTCTTTATTCCTCTCAGGGCTTACTTTCCAAAAGAAACACTTTGATTCTACATATTCCTCCAGGAAGCAGAGCAACTCCCCTGTTTTTTCAATAAATGAAAAACTATCAATAACTGCATTTTGGAAACTTGGCTCAATAGTAAGCATCTCTTCTTTCCCAGTAAATACTGAGATCATGCTTGAGTCTTCATTTTTGTCGTAATAAATTACAAGACTATCATTAAGAATGGCTGTCTTTTCGACATCAATACCAAGGAATTTAAGATATTTATTAGGGTTAGCTGAAACATCTTTATCCTTCCCGTACTCTATGGTATCAAGGCTATAATTTATACTAAATGCACTTACACATAACCTGAGTTAAACCTTCTGATGAAATAGACTGCAGTCAAATCTTCTGCAATTCTGAGATGCTCAAGATCTTCACAGATAATGGTAGTCACTCATTCTGCTCTGTTGTGAAGAATTTCTGCTTCAACAATCTTCGTCGTCTGATCTTCAAGCATTAAAAATATAAGAGTATCAGGATCTTCCTTATGAAATTCAGCTTCAAGAAGTAATCCCTCCATATCTTCATGGAACTGCCGATGAAAAGTTCCGATTAATTTTTTTGTAGATGAGTTATATACTCTAAACTCATGAAATATTTTAGAAGTTGGCTCTGCGCCAACCCCTACTAAGATATATTTTCCTGCGTTCCAGTTTTGTATTTTGGGGAAATCTTGGGCAGTTGCGAACATATCAGCATGCTCAGGCTGATATTTGTCTATATCCTCGTCGTAGTTGCCATCCTCTTTAATAAGATCATTACAGACATTAACATCCATCTCTCAGACTTTATCAAGAGTGTAGAGGTCGAATATCAAGACCATGCAGTTATCAGAATCATTATTGCTTTCAACTAAAAGGAGGGTCTGATTGTCAAGAGCTATCTCAACATCAAACTTGAAGTCTCTGTTCGGCTCAGCCTCAAGAATCTATTAAAGTTATCAATATAAATTACCTCAGGTGTGAAGTATCTATTCTTGATTTTAACAGGATTATGTGTATCAATTCTCCAGATTCATAACTCATATTTCTCTCTGAATAAAGGCGGGGTATACTTCAAGCCATTATGGTCTGGTAAACGACGAAAATTCATCATGTGCGAATCTGGAGGATATGGATAATAATCAACAGGTGGGAAGTATTCGTCAAGTCTTGGAGAGTTAAGATCGTGATCAATGTACAAATCAGGATTCAATACATTAGGCTCATTCGGTTTTAAACTTTCATCATAATCTTGATAATCAAACAATACATTGCTTTCTTCAAGCATTAAATCGCATGCCTTATTGAACACCTTATATTTACTAATCTGTTCCTTTTTCTGCTTCTTTATTGCCACATGAGACTTGATTCTGGCATACTCTCCTTTAACTTTAGGGAGCTTTTTATGAATAATATCTTTTAACTTCTTCTTTTTATTTTTAGGCTTTTTCTCAGCTTTTCCTCCTTCATAACTCTCTTGAGAGTCTTCAAATATAGAAGTGTGGGGGTCAACAGGTAGGGTTGAACTAATCTCAAAGATTTCATCCATGCCTCTAGCCTTAAGTCCATCCATAAAGTGTTGTCTTCTCTTAGCAACGTCTTTCTCAGCCTCATCGTAGAAGTATTCCATTTTATTGGAAAAATCAGTGATCGAATGCTCTGGGACCAGAATAATGTCTTTCTCACTATCTCTCTTCTCTTTGAAATATTAGATATGATAAAACAAGCACTCAAAACAAGGCAGGTAAAAATCTAAGTTCAGTTTGAACAAATATAAACAACTTCAGAAGAACACATTAAGGCAGAATTCAAGCTATTTGGTGTAAGGTTAAAGATTTCTTCTATGCTTAAAAACTAAACTATATTTTTGCATCATAAGTTGTTGTAAGATCTATTTAAATTTGAATATTAAAAATAACTAGTCAAAAATTGTTGTAAGTGGAAGAAGAGAAAATGAGAACATCTAAATTATTTAAGACACAAAACTTATGGGTGGCTTTTAAATAACCAAAGCCAAAAATAGGATCCAAAAATAGTTGAAATAAAGAGTTTGAAATTTAAAAATCATAATTTCAGTCCTAAAGAGTTCCTTCTGATTATCAGTTTCCTAACAACAGAAAGAAAAATTACATAAGATGTTCCTCAAAATGATTGGATTTCAAACAAAATTAATCACATACTCTCAGTCGATATGGGAATGATCTCATTTAAAGTAATAATATGATCTCCTAGGGTCGGATGAAATCAACCCTTCACAACTTTTGTAGTGGGAATTTTGAATTGCTTCCCGAATTGTTGCAAATATTCTTGGACAAAGCTATAGAATTAAATTTTACTTTCATCTTTCTTTTAAAAATAATTTTGGATATATTGATGAAAACAAGAGAAACCTGACCCATAAACTATATCAAATCAAACCCAATTCAAGCACATCAAATTTTTAAAATCCAAAGACCTCAAGGCACACTAAACTCCCTCAAAAGCTCTGAAAATATCCTAAACCCAATACGCCCATTTCCAACTCTCAAAACTCATCTTTATTTCCTCAAATTTTTCAAATTCTCTGCAACTACCATAAACTCATTTCCTCCCTTATCTTCCCACTTGCCTCACTCCCACCCCTTACACCCTCCTAGCCCCTTTCCCATACCCTGGATCCCTCTTGTCTCCCCTGTCAACCACCCGTTATCTTACTCTCTCTTGGGATCAAACACAGGATTTTCGTAGGACATTCTTAATTTATATTAAATTCAAATTATTTAATTCTTATAGGGGTTTTGGGGTTTTGGGGTTTTGGGGTTTTGGGG